GGCTTTCATTTTTACAGGGTTATGTTTAATCTTATGGAGCAGGATTTGAACAGCATATTACACTTAGTATAGTGGAGACAATTACATTTCATTATGGTACAATTATAAAAAAGTCACACTGTCTTTCCTGATTTCATAAATATTAAAAGAGTATAGTTTTGTGGTATTCCTGCGTAACACCCACACCTCTCTGATAGTTTCACTTCTCATTAATAGTGAGGAAATGAAAAGCCTAAATATTTTGTAACAGAGATCAAAAACCAAAATCCCCATTAGCCAAATAAAGCAAAAGTCAAACTCTTTCCAAGTTAAAAGGTAAATAAACGCAACTGATATAAAAATATATGTGTCTATTAAAATAAAAACGTGTTGCAGAAAAACTAGTAATGAATGACTGATGATGTAACTTAAATAAGTATTCTACAAAAGACATAACCCTCCCTAATTTTAGTGAGAACTGTACCAGCATTGTGTTTTATAAAATATTAAAATAGAAGAGCAACAGTCAGTGAGATTTCTCCCCAATGACGTCCACTAACTCCACTTACCTTTTCGTCTCATGATCTGCCTACAGGAAATCTTTTCTGAGAGTGAAACTCCTGGCTATAAATTGTTATTCTCACACATTTTCTGCTAAATGAACAGCAGTGAACACAACAGGTGCACTGTACTTAAAGTCTTTATATGTTTAAATAATCTGCCTTAATTTAGTTCAAATACTATATATAGTATATATACAAACAATTTAATTTAAGACTGTTAAATAGGTGAAGAAATCCTTTATGCACACCCTTAAGCTGGCACAGCACTATGTTGAATAAGCTATGCACTGTATTTTAGAATTCCTTCTCCCCTTTTAAGAACAATCAGTATCCTATATCTTGACTGTTGACCGCACTACTTTGCCAGATTTCTGAAAGTTGGCTTGTAAGACAATATTTTGTCCACGACCTTCAGATATGACCCCACTCATCTGGTTAGATTAAGTTAAAGATTATGTCATCTCAAAGCTTTATTTACTTTTTTTTTTTATCTTTTTGCTCAGATTCACTCTGATGCTGAAAAACATAATTACTTCAATCTTCAACTTTAAATAAAAAAACTGCAGATACCGTTTGCCATAAATATAAAAACATTAAGGCTTAAATTTAGTTAAAAGACCTTAAGGCTCATTTTCACCATTCAGTCTACTTATGTTCAACATTCAGCTGCTTTGGTGGGATTTTCCTCACAGTATGTTCATTAGCAGCTTTTTGCTAAGGTCATACGTATAGTCATGTTACAAAGGTTTAAAAGTATGACAGTATTTAAAGGTATTATTTCAACTGTTGCGTTAATCAGCTGCCACATATGAATCAAGATGCTATGACCGAAAAATTTGATTGACAGATGACGTTAATATATGATTGGCCGAATTTAGGTGTACAGGCTGATGTTTAACTAACTGACCTGCATAAGATCACAAAAAAACACAACACAGATTTTAAGACAGGATTTCTTTTTAAATAGAAATTTTCAAAATTTTGGTCTGATAAAGAGTAAATTTATATACATGTTTAAGCCAGAATGATTTGACATTTAAATATGACTTCCCTACGACTTTACTGATAATTGTCAGGATTTTGTTGAGGTTTGTGGACCCAAACGCAGAGGCAGGGAGGCAGAGGTGAGTTTCTTGTGGATTTAATGAAGAGTTAACAAACAACTGAGGCAGGAATCAAAAAATCTAATATGAAAACAAAGTCAAACAAACCAGAAACCAAGGAGACATCTGGGGGAAAACAATCACGAGGAGGAAGACTCAGAGAGACGGAGTTGGAGGAAGTTAGACGAGGAACCAGCGCTGAAGAACTGCACAGAGTGAGTATTTATGGGAGATTGAAACAAAGAGCGGTCTACGGAGCAGATTGGGAGCAGGTGTGAACAGAGCAGAACAAGAAAGGAGCTAGGGAAAAAGGTAAACACAAGAGGGCAGCAGAGAACCTGGAAACTGAAAATAACCAGAAAACAGAACAAAATAAGAATCAAACCACTAAAACTAGAAAACATGGAGCAAAGTCAAACTGAATACTCAAAATAAAACATAACAGAACCAGAACTGTGACAGGAACTAAAAAATAACCAGAAAACACAACAAAATAATAATAAAACCACTAAAACTAGAAAACATAGAGCAAAGCAAAACTGAATACTCAAAAGAAAACATAACAGAACCAAGACTGTGAGAGTAGTTCAGACATTTTATAAAATAGGACACTGGTTTTGATTTATTTGTAGATACCTGAGGCAAGCCATACTTTAATTATGAGAAATTTGTTTGTTATTTTTCTAGCAATTAATTCAGATTACTGTCAAGTAAAAATAACTTACAAATCTCAAGTTGGCTCAACTTTGATCCATAAAATTATGCATTTGTTGACTCAGCAGCACAGTAGAAATAATTCTTAGTAGTCATAATTTAGTAAATATTACATCTAATGTAGGTTATTAAGTAAATACCACTTGATTATCTTCATTGCTTTACTCATGTATTAGAACGAATAAAAAGCAATTATTAAAAGTTACTTAAAAGTTCCCTGTGCCTATTTTTTGCATGCATTTTTAAAGTAATGCTAACTAATTGTATTTTATAGTGTAATTTATATTCTGTTAGATCATACTGCTGGAATCAAACAGATGTTGTGACCTGCCATATTTAAATGCTATTCTGAAACAGATTTATTGTTTCATAAATATTATACATATATTTTCCGTCATATTAATGCATTAATGAGTGTGAAGTTAAATCGTCCAATCATTGCCAGCTCGTGCTGCCCCACCACATCCATCGCTCGCGCACGCGCCAGCTGGGTTTGCACAACCACGCGGTCCCGCTCGTAGGACAGGTCACAGCTGAGCCGATGAGATCATGGAGGCTGAGGTCGGACGGGATACGGCCAACAGGACTGCTCGGTGATGGAGAGCTGCCTGTCCGGTAAGATGGAGCCGTGCGTTCAGTGCGCTCCTGGACTTCTTTTTGTTTTTAAAGGTGGGACCGTTAATACGATGCTTTAATAGAAAAATTGAATTGAATGCGGTCAGTTTGCTTGACAGATTATTTCTTATGTAAGATAGAAGCTCGGACTCGTGCGGCCACATATCTGTGCAACAATCTAATCCTTTATGCCGGGGTCGTAGTAGAATGATTGTGGCGTCTGTGTCGGTGTTTGTCAAAGGCAGGGTCACTGCTCCACTTATATGCGCTTCTTGTTCATTTATGCAGCTTTAAACTGCGTTAAACTGCTCATTAAAACTCATTGGTGATAATAATATTCAAAGGAAATTGTCATTCCTTTAAACTCTGTTTTTGCAGTGAGCGCGCTGACTCTCCGCAGCAACAGCTGGTTGTCTCCTAACTCAGCTGCAGGCACTTGTGAACTGATTTAATAAGATTTAAAATTCACCACTTTTGTGGTCGTATTTTTCCCGTTTGGAGATGTTATATATATATATATATATATATATATCTATATATATAGCCTCACAGCTGCATAAACCTATCTAATCACCATATGAACGATACACGTCTAAAATCTCCATTTTAGTATGTTTGGTAAAGTAATAGAGCTACAGGAATGAGCTCTAAACTATAGGTGCTTCTCTCTTTTTTTTTATAATTCATATTTAAATTTTATTTCTGCATTGTCTGACAATGAAATCTGCACTCTTGCTGTCTAAAGGCCCACCTTAAGGTTGCTGGTTCCATTGTATGCAGGACACTCTGTCTATTGTCCCAGGCCATAATAAATAAGGGATTGACTGGCAGGTTATGATTGACAGGCAGAGCAAACCAGTCTCTCAGTTGCATCCTGTTCAGGGATTCCCAGCACCCAATCCTCTTAGATCAGAGGAGGGATTATGAATTGGATTTGCCTCTGCTTTATAGTCAGTTCTCAATGTCTGCTCTCCCAACAAACTGGGTTAGCTTTCTTTAAATGCCCCTAGGCTATTTTTTTTTCTGTTGTTAGAATTATCTGGCTTTTTAAAGCATCAAACCCAACAAGCCTCTATGTTACCACCAAATATTATACCGACACAGACAGTGATAAGATATTTTTATTGTATGCGGATTTAATCAAATAGGAACACACTTGGCCTAAATCCTATTTTATGTCTCCTGCATTTAGCTAATGCCAGAATATAACTCCATTTAAAGTTTGACTTTGAATTTGCAATTGGCCCAGAGGGATGGGAGCTAATGGAAAGTGGTCCTTCAATTCTCTTTGCAGTCTCCGGAGGCCATAGCATTGTGCACAATATTATCTCTTTTGGTCAGACTTCTGCTGACACAAAAGTCCAGGTCCTCTTCAATAATCTCACTTATTGCTTTCTGTGTTGCTAAAATAGTCAAACACATACACATCCATTCTGTTTTTTGCTATTGGACATTGAGCCGGGGATACATATGCAATAAGGTAGCATTTAAGAGTAGTTTATTGTTTTCTGTATTCTGCCTCTGATTTTGATATTCTGTTCCCCCAGCTTGTATATATTGGGAATAGAGAGTCTAATGAGGTACTACGCTTGAGGTTGTCAAGTAGAATGGACAACTTTAATCCTCTTTTTAAATGAATTATTGAAGCATAAGCTGAAAATTGATATTGATATGTTAGTTTTATCATTTTTAATCTCCTATTTTCTTCGCATTTCTCTGTATGTCTGTATTGTCTGTATGTCTGTCTTGCGTTTTGCTGCCTAGAATTCACGATGTCCTACAGTATAGCTGAAAATACAAGACATCCTGCCAATGTTTCTAGGAGCCCCACTGCCAACAGTCTCCACTTCTTTCTTCGAAGAAGACTAAATCCAGCTCAGTCTCTACACAGTCGGATATGGACTAGTGAAAAGTTTTGGCCATTAAGTGCTCTTTATTATTCCTGTTGCTTGTTCTTATTCCATCAACTATTTCCTTCCAGATTTTATATTTTACAATAAAATTATGCCTTTAAACATAAGAGCCAAGCCCTCACACAGCAAGCTGACTGCTGCTGCAAAGAGTAGTGGGCACAACGATGGCAGCACATCTCAATCACGCTTTCAGAGGTCTGCAAAACAAGGAAAAGGCAAACAGGCTGTCACATCAGGTCCTGGGTACCGCTCAGGACTTGAGCCTGGCTCTGTGTCAAGCGGTGGGCCTCCACCGGCAGCTAAACTGACCGGGGCACAAGGTGCAGCTTCAAAGCCGGGTTCGAGAATCAAAATCAGTACATCAGCAGCAGAAAAAGGCTCAGCTCGTGGTTCAGCAACAGCTCCGGGGGGTAAAACCCTGTCCATGGAGAACATCCAGTCCCTAAGTGCTGCATATGCCACTTCTGGAACCATGTATCCCAGTGAGCGGGAGTCCTTGGAACCTTCCGGTGGGTACCCAAAAGGCACCATGACGTTAGGCCGGAGTACCAAACGCTCATCTTACAGCAGTCGCACAATAGGTAGTGGAAGCACCCCAAACATCACAGCCTCTGGTATGCATCACATATCAGACTCATGTGGAGACCAAACTGTAGTTTGCACAGGAACTTCCAGTTTGCGCCGGCAGTCAGGAAGATGCACCCAAACAGTGGATTCAGCTGATCGAGGAGATGCTTCCACTTACGATCTCCAGGCTATGCTGAGGGATCTGCAGAGGGAAAATGAAAGTCTCCGGAGAGAATTGGACGGAGGAAGGGATGGAAAGACAGGCTATGGCACGAATAGTGTTAATTTCTGGAGCCCGGATGTTAAGAGAGACAAGGGGAGTAGGCGTGAAGAGGGAGTAAGGACACCAGCTCTGAGGGAGCCATGCAGGGTGAACCAAGAAGATATACAGGTGAGAAAGTAAACAACCACAGTACCTTGAAGAAGTACTGATCCATCTTTAACTTTTACACATTTTGTCACATTACAACTTTAAACTTCAATGTGTTTTATTGGGATTGTTGGTTTTAAATCAACATGTAATACATCATTTTGCCTTCCTAAGTTAAATATTACACACAATCAGTGGCTTGTTACAGAATATAATGAAACAAACAGCATCATGGAGACCATAGAAACATAACACAATTTGGGAATTAATCTTTGAACATTTCATTGAGCACCTTTCAATGTATCATATAAAAATAAAATGATTATGGCAGAACTATAGACCTACCAAGATATTGCAATCCATATAAAATAACAGACTGGAAAAGGAGATAAGTGGACATTAATAAGACAACGTGCTAAAATATAATTCTGGAGAAGTAATAGAAATCCAATACTTAGGACAGAGAATCTGTCAAACAAGACAGGCGTTAGCTGAGTAGCTTACATAGGTACCCTTTATGGAAGAAAGGCAGGAATAAAGCCAATACTGTAGACATAGAAAGATTAAGGAGTGGCCCTGCTCTGATCAGACAAAAACCCAACATTTTATTTAGAAACACACATGTTGAGGACATAATGCTGTTTGGGATGATTTTTTTTTTGGAAGCAATTGATGGAAAATGAATGGAGCTCAATTGAGGGTTGCCTTTAAAGATATTTGATGTTTCTCAATACCTAAAGCTGCAGCACGGTTTAACCTTACAACAAGACCCTCAACATTATTAGAAGGATAAGGAATGGAGGGGGAAGGATCAAAACATAAATGTATTTACACAGCAAAAAAACAAAACATGAACACGTGTGAAATGGTCAAAAACTAATCTGAATTATTAGAGAAATACCAATTGGGATTTTCTTTGCCAATATTTTCTGGAGTTCTGCTTTTGTGTACAAATTATTCCTCATAAAATCAAATTTTGTCCTCCAAGTCCTTTTACAGGCAAATTAGTTTGGAGTCTTAAAGAAAATAGAGGAATTGAATAATTATCCCAATGAATCTAATAAAGCCGATGGAAGTAACTTTGCATAAAATGCATACATTTTGACAGAAGTGTTAGCTTATTTTTTAGATATTGTTTGGTATAGCTAAATACAGTTCTATATATTATAAAAGTTATGTGTTAAAAAAAAATCACTTCATCATCCAACACACCACTGTGGGCCCCTTAGTGTTGGTCTGACCCAAAATATTCTAAACATGTAACATTAAACATGTACGATTGTGATTGTAATCTGACAGAATGTGAAAAGGTTTCTTTAGTGAATTAATTCATGAGTCAAACGTTTTGTGTTCATCTCAGAAAAATCCTTCCTCTGTCAACATTCTATTCGTTCTCATCTTCAAGGTTACACTGAAAAAGCTTTGGTGTTGTTCAGATGTAACGTTTGCCATCCTGCCTTCATGTGTTTCCATGGGAACTTGCTCCTAATGGCATCCAATCAAGATGTTCTTATTGGGCTCACAGCTTTTGCTGAGGCGAGGGTGACCAGGCTGTCCTGTGCTGTCTCTCCCCCGGAGTCTGAGGTGTCATCCATCTGTCTGCCACACCCAGTGCTTGGCCGCTGTCTAGTGTCTCTTCTTTGTTTATCCTCTCTCTCTGTTTTTTATATTTTTGCCCTTCCATTTATCTCTTTATCAGACATTTTACATCTTGGTGTGTCAGTGTTTGCCTGTGGCTATTTTCAAAGGATATTCTATATGCTAATGTTATTCAGACAAAAAAAAGTTTATTTAGGGCTCACAAAGTACACAGGCTGGGTTTTTGTTGCCCTATATTTGCAAAAAAAAAATAAAAAAAAATGCTGTTTTATCCAAGGAGACTCTGTGTTTGCATTTATAAGTTTTAAATTTCACTTACCGGTAGTCATAAAGGTGCGTGGATTTAGTGATTGTACACAGATTCGCAACACACAAATTCAGCGATTTCTAAAAGGAGAAGAGGATTGGTTAGAAACCAATGCATGCAGCAGGGTGTTGCTTTCAAATAGATGTTTATAAAAAGTGCTGCTTAACAGTTTTAGGCTTCTCCAGAAATATGTTGAGTTGACATGTCCTTGATTGCACCCTTGCATTTAAATTAGCTCAATCTGTTTAGACCATGTGAAAAAGGTCATTTACAACTACAGTATCTCATACAATATAAATCCATTCAGTCAGTTTGATTTTCCAACTGATTTATAGTTTGCTGTTTTACTTTAATTTATGTAGTTTGCAGTGGCAGCATTGAAAGAAATGTTAAAAGCAAACTGTGCTCATTATATTTAACATTTAACCACCTCTTGCTTTCTATCTCTGCTATTGTCTGTCTTTCATACACACCCGCCAACAGCTGCTCAATTTTCTTCCCAATATTGATTAGACTGCTCATTAAAGAGCAGCCATGTGAACCTGTTTCCTCAGGTCTAAACTGACATTCTACCAGCGTTTCCAACTCTAAAAAGAAAGGTCACCTCTATCGTCTCCCTTACCTCCAATTTAGTTTATCGTTTTCTTTCCAATTTTTCTTTTCCATTTCTCACCGGGCTCATTTGTTTTAAATTTCCTATCTTTTTGTTAGTCTCTGGTGAGTCAGATCAGATTATTACAGTTCAATCTAAGGAATGTCACCTTTTTTCTTTATCTGCTTTTCTTTGACCTTCATCCATCTGACCATTTTTGTTTGTTTGGTGTGCATGTTGGTTTGATGTGTGCATGTGTATGTGTTCACATAAGTATTTTTGTACTTGTGGTACAGTCTAAGTTGTGTGTGCTTTTGAGGAGGACTGTCCTCCCACTCTAATTTAATATTCAGCGCGAGATGTTGCATTGATTATCCATAAACTCCCTCGCTCTTCCACATCTCCACTCTGTCCTTGGCACTCCCCACCTTCTGGACAGGAGCAGAGAAATTAGAGAGTTAGCATGAAAAGCAAGTAAAGGCTCCCCACAAATAATTACTATCAGGGGCAGTATATTAGAGTTTTATTCTAATCAGTTAAAAATAAATAGTTAATTGCTCAAATGAAACTAATTACAGATGTCTGTTGTGATGGCCGTTTAAAAAATAAACATCAGATGGGTCTGAAAATTTACATGATCTGAAACATATGCAGATTCCATACAATTTGTGTTATTTTTGCCACTCGTTAATAGTTCAGATCACTAAAAGAAGTTGTCAATAAAATGAGGATATTAATGAGGATTTCATGTATCAAGCAAAAAAAAAAGTCCTTTTCCTCTGAAAGCACTGGAGTTTAAAGCCCCAGGGTTAGTTTTACCCAAGTCAAAGGGATACTGGGGAATTTGTCAGCCTGCTGTTTTCATTACTCTAAAACATTAATTTAACCCTTTAAAGCCAAATGTATCATATTTGGTCAATGAGTTTTTGAGACATTTGTATCATAAGTGGGATATTTTTTTGAAAACCCTGACTTACACAATCAGACATATGTAGTGAACAGATTATCTTTAGAGATTAAACAGAAATGCCGAATTTATAAATACATTGATGAAAATAGGTGATCTAATTTAAGTTTTACAAAAAATTATGTTTTTTTTTCTTCTTTCGTTTGTGCAAAAATTCAATGAAAAGATTTTTTAATGTATTATTTCATGGTCCAGGCTTTAAAAATGGATAGAGTAGCCTTGTTCTCTCAGTGCACACTCATACTTGAAAAGTTTTTTGGACCTTTTTTTAAAAAATCTTAAATAGAGTTGTCATTGGTATCTGATTAGCTGGATGCCGGTCGCTTCTTAGTATCCACAAAATCATGTGGAACATTATGCTTCACTTAGACCCGTTTAACTTGGACTCGCTTGATGTCACATCTGCAGAAACAGAGCAGGAACTTCCGACCCAAAGTACATTCAGGGAAAATAGGCTACAGTCTTATAGATGCATTAGCATTGAACTACGTAGGTGTCAGTCTGCTCAGTAAACATTGTTTTGGTCATAAAGGGTCTAATATTTTGTAAAGATATTTTCAGTAAAAACAAAATGTCTCTTTAAGGTTAACTGGACTCTACAAGCAGAAAAATTATTAGATAATAATTTTACATTTTTTAATTTTTTTTATTAATATGCATTTGACTAGAATTTTTGCTTTATAACTGCGTGATTCATTTACAGTTACTACTATAAACCAATTAACACAATTATTTGTATTTTATTATAACACTAAAAACTAAATCTCTTATCAGATACCAACAGTGGGCAGCACAGTGGCACCCTTTGTAGTACAGTTGCCTTGCAGCGAGAGGTTCTCTCCAAATGAACATAATGTAAATTAGGAGGAGAAAGGGGAGAAGTTTACACTGAAGCAGGATGAAACAGTGATAAACTAAGTGTAAATTGGGGATTAACCTATGGATATGAACATAGATCATGCTAGAACTGGGAAAAACACCAGTAACACAAATGTAGCACATGGTTAAGGTTTCCATTACACAAACAAAAACATACACAGATGTCTGCATTCGCATGTGTTACACACAGGGTGTAGTGATACTTTATTTGTTTGGCCGCACTTATACATCCTGTTACACAAAGCATTGTGGGATTCCTTACAGCTCTATAGAGCCTCTTAGGGACATTGCATGCTCCCTGCTGAACTGATAGTATAGCCTAGAAGAACAAGAAGAAGAAGAAACCTATGACCTTTTTTTTTCCTGCCAGCTATTTTTTGGACAGCAGTATCATGTGACTGCTGATGCACACCCATTAAGCTAAACATTCCTTATCAGTTTCATGTATTAAGATTTAGCCCCAGGCTTTTGAGGGGCAAAATGGCCAAAAGAATTACTTTCCAAAACCAAATAACTTTCTGCTACTTTGACAGCAAAAACTACTGGTACTGATTCTCCTAAGCTTCTGTGGAGATATTTGGTCCAATCTGCTTTGCACAATTATTTGAATTTGGTCATAATGGAGGGATTTCATGGCTTCTTTGAGGTCATGCCACTGCATCTCAATTGGATTTAAATCTACTGCAAAGTAAATTTATACAAAATACAGCTTGTGTTGGATTGTTGTTCTTCTGCATTATCTAAAGGCATTTAAGCTTAAGGTAAAAAAATATCCAGACCTTTCTACTTTGGGATCTTTAGAATCGATAGATTCCACGGCACTCCCTCCATCATGTTTAACCATGGTACAATATTTAGGGATGAATTATTTATGTATTCTAAAGCAATATTTTTCCTTTGTTTGAATATTTGAATATGTGACTTCTCTTTTTTAAATAATACAGTTATTTAACAATTCACATTCATTTTCATCTTCAAATGTCCATCCTTTTTTTTTTTTTTTTTCAAAATTCACTTGATCAATTGCACTTCCAAGGTTGTGCAGAATAATCTATGCATGTTAAGCAAATCTATTTACTCGACCTTTATTTAAGCAGATAAAGCCTCGGTGCGATTGGAATCTCTTTTCCAAGAGGGAACTGGCAAGACACAGCAGATAAACTGAAATTATTTTCTGGATTAAAACATGGGCTAGACAATTGATACTGCCCAATTGCAAGGGAATCTTCTGAGTTACCACATGGTTGTTTCTGCAATAACAATAATTATTGCTTCTGGCAATCTTTGTGAAAGCATTACATAATATTCCCAGGTGTTAGGTGGTTTTTTTAAGATTCACTTAAACCAAAACAAACAAAAAAAGATCCAATAAAACCAACAGAAACATACATATTTTTATGCAGCACCTTTCAAGAAAAAAAAAGACAAGTTTCTTTATATAAAAGACCTTAGAGACATAAAAATATTATATATTATTATTAAGGAGGGTACAGAAGGGTGCTATCTAAAATGGCATTCTATAAAAAAAAGTCTTAACCTTCTTCTTAAATTATAACATTGGATGCCCAAAGTAACTCTGTTTTCTATTTTTCTAGTTATTTGTGTATAACTAGAAGTAGCAGTAGAAAGAGCAGAAATTCACTAAATGAGAACTGAATGACACACAGCTGCCACAGAAAGTTATAAATCTTCTCATAAGGGAGTTTTTAAAACGTGTGTGGATGACCTTTGATATCTTTCTCTTCAACTTTTAAGTTTGATATTATTAAACTTTCATTTTCAGCTTCATGACATTTAGAAATCTTTAGAAATCTTCTATAACTTGACTTGCTGTTTATAATCACTGGAAGTTAACTAGACATGTCCCATTTTCACTCTCTCTTTGGAATGGAAAACAAAAGTATGGCATAGATATCCAGGTTTGTATAGTGTTATACATTTAACTAGTGTTTTATTTTCTAATTAAAAGAAGATCATTATTGTCAATAATATTTTGAAATTAGCCATTTCTTATTTCGTAAGAGTACCCATTTTTTGGGTGCAGCTCCAATTTCTTTGATTTATCAATTGACTTCAGTTTCTTTCAAACAATGCTTTATGTCCATTAATTTTCATGCAAAAAGACATCTTTTTCATATTATATAGACTTAATTCAACTTTAAACTGATTTTCCACCCTTTAATGTTTCTTTATCAACAAACAAACCTTTCCTACATTATCTGTCACCTTCTGCATGTGTTTCTAAGATACATCCCGCCCTCTTGTGGTGTTGTTTTGTAACTACCACCCAGCAACTTTGAAAAAGTCAAGATGACTTAGACCCCATTTATCTGTGTTTGTTTTATCACATTCTACTACAGCTGGGAGATATGAGAAGAAACAAGGTCTGTCTCATCTTCTTTTTTTATGTGACTCTTGCTTTTTTTGTACATAAGTGTATTTATGCGTCATGCTCTATTTTGGCTGTAGCTGGTTTGTATAACTACCGAAATAACCTGACTTTTTGTTTGTAGCAGCTTCCCTTGACAGTGCAGGAGCTACAGGAGGAGCTGAGAGCTCACAGAGAAACAAACAGTCGTCTGCGGCAACAACAGCAGCAGGGCAACTCCTACCGAGAACACCATATGGACCAGGAGCTCAGAGGGGCGATCAGCCCTGGACACAGTCCCAGACAAAGTCCTGTAAACCTGCACAGTCCCAGAGCAAAGAACAGTCCCAAAGCCAGCCCGTCTAACACCTACAATCCAAGGCAACAAGAGGCTGACATCATCATTCACAGTCCTGGCTATGGGTGTAACACATTGACAGCCACACAGAGACTTAGCCCAGCCAACACCCTTCAGCCTGGCCAGAGGTATAGTCCAAACCAGTCTCTCTACAGCCCCAGTCAAGGCCCAGGAGTAGTGCCCAGCTCTAGCCCCTGTCGTCCCTGTAGCCCCTGTCAGGTGCCCGGGTGTGATGGCTTTTCCTCACCTCCTCCTCAGGATTCAACAGAGGAAAACTTCTTCCGACTGCAGTCAGAACATGAGCGTCAAGCCAGCGAGCTGTCTCTGCTGAGGAAGACTATGGAGGAGATGGAGATGAGGATCAACTCCCAGAAGCAGACACTGGGGGCACGAGATGAGAGTATTCAGAGGCTGCTGGAGATGCTTCAGGGTCAAGGACATGGAGAACGGGCACATCGGACAGGCATAATTGCCATGGCAGCGAAGGAGGCTGATGCCCACTTGGAGAGCATGCATTTGAGAGAGGTGTGTAAGTCTTTCTTATAGTTTGAATGGTAGTCATTAAAATCATCAGATTTCCTTTGGAGGTTTAAGCTTAATTATTGGCTTGTTATTCTTTTAGGATAGATTAATGAATTCATGGATTTGGAAGTTTTTAAGGATGTTCAAACCATGTGGTTTTATACAAGATGTACAGTTATTGTACTGAGAAATACAATTTTCCCCTTACAAATTTCTTCTTTTTGCTTTGCTGCCACGTTCATTTATTTATTTTTGTTATTTATTTTTATTTTATTTGTATTCATTTTTATTCCTAATCCACCTTTTCCTCCTTGTTTGCACCATATTTAAGTACTAACCCAATATGTGACCAGGGAATTTCTCCGCTGTGAGATCAATAAAGCTCATCTAATCTAATCTAATCTTACATGTTTCAAACCAGGTTTGCTACGATCATCAAAGAAATTACCAAAATTCAGTTTTTCAAATGTTTTATTTTTAATTAGTTATAAAAACATGGTGTATTAACAACCTGCCACTTTATGAATATGCCATTTTGGGGGAATGATGCATCATTAGCTGTAATGCACATTTTTTTCAAAATTTCTTTACAGTGTCCTGTCTGGGTATGGAGCAATAAGAATAATTGTCTTGATGCCAAAAAAGAGCCTAACAGATGTTGCTTTCAGAAGTGGAGCAGTATGGCTATCGCCAAGTGTTCCGCTGGTTTTATGCATATGAATTGCTTTATAATGATTATTTGTGTGTGTGTGTGTGTATGTGTGTATATATATATATATATATATATATATATATATATATATATATATATATATTTGTATATTAGGGATGCACGATATTGGGATTTTGGCTGATATCCGATATGCCGATATTTTAAAACTCATGTAGCCGATAACCGATATCGATACCG